GGCTGGGCTGCGGCGAGGGCTTGAGTTTGAATTCTGGACTCCACAGCACCCCTCATACCTGGGGGAGGAAGCTGTTTACCCAGCAAAAGGAATGGGATTAAAAGATTAAGTGTTTGCCCCCACCCCCCCACCCCAGGGTTCTGCATGTTCTCCGACCGAGAGCTCGGGCAGTACCAGCATCTAAAGCCAGGTGATGGCAGGGGTTTGGAGTTCTTGGGGGTGGGGGGGAGATACAGACACCTGAGGGGGCTCTCGGGGCCCCACCTTTGTCCGTTGCCTTCCTTCCTTTCCTTCCTTCCTTCCTCCCTTCCTTCCTTCCCCTCCTCCTTCTTCCTTCTTTCCTTCCATCCTTCCCTCTTTCCTTCCTTCCCTTCCCATTCCTCCTTCCTTCCCATTCCCAACCCTAAGGGATAGGAGGAGGAGAGAAGACTGGAATAAAACTGAGGAATGATGGGGCAAGGCAGAGGTGGCCCTGGGGTCTCGTACCATCCACTTTTCCAGACCCTGCCCCTGCTCCCTTCACCATGGGATCTAGCCCTCAGTTCTCCCTTTTGTGAAACGAAGTCGGGGGACAGGACAGACAGGATGACCGCTAATCCAGGGAGCTGCCTTCCAGGACTGTGGCCAGTTGGGGATTCTGAAGCCCCAGGATAAACTAATCCTATTCCTCCCCCATCCCAATACCCCAACATCAGCCTCTCCAACACACATAGGCTTTTGATGCAGGCCCAGCCCTCAGTCAAGCCCAGTGGGACTTGGGGTACAGGAGGCCAAAACCTAGGGTCACTCAGACTCGGGGTGCTTCTGGTGTTGGTGAGTCAGAACCTCCTAGGGGCCAGAGAGGGCCCTGACTCACCCAAATCTCTCTTCCCTCCCTCCCCCGGGGCCCTAGGCACCTGTCAGGCTGTGGCGCCGACCACCTGCCACTGGCTGGCAGCTGCCACCCTTCCCTCAGACTCCTGGGACCTCTAAGCACTTAAGTGATCAGAGCATAGTGTAGGTGGCTAGAAGGATGTTTCTGCCACTTATGGGGTGGGGGAAATCTAGGAGAACTGGAACTTTCAGGTCAGAGCCCGAGGCCTCTCCTCCTTTACTCACCCTACCCTACCCCTCCCCAGGGCCGAGTCCTGTAGCCCAGGCCTTCTCTGATAGAGGGCCCAGAGAGGGAGGCTGCCCTCCCCTCTTCCAGCAATCTGCCAGATCCCCTAACTTACTCACTCAGCGTGGAGACCTCTGTTGCCCACTCCTCCATCCAGGAGCTGGGGCTGGGGCTCTTCTGACTCTCCTTTTCCTCTCCAGCCCCCCTCTGGCCCCTAATACTTCTCTGATGCTTCCTCAATTCTGCTTCCCCAAATCCGGACCCCTTTTCGGGGCTCTCTTCTTGTCCCCTGAAGGCTTCTTCAATGGCGCACCCCCATCCCTTCTTTGGGCCCTATCTTCCTCCTCCCCACGAACTGCTCCCTCCCTCTTGGGGATGCTCCCTTTCTGGCCCCGGTCCCCATGGCCTTGGGAGCGACCCTGTGGCTCGAGGCCCCTGCCTCCCTCCCTGGGGGAGAACACTCACCCCACTGCAGGAAGTCCAGCACATACTTGTCCTGGGCCAGGGCTGAGGCACTGAGCTCCTGGTAGACACACAGCAGCAGGTCGAGCAGGGGCTCCAGACCCACACACCCTCCATCGACCACCAGCTCCCGGAGCCGACGGAGCCGCTGCAGCCGGACCTCGGCCGACATGGCGGGGCTGCTGCCACCACCATGGCCCCCGCCCAGGCTGGGGTGGGGGGGGGCCTCACCTCTCACAGGCCTGGCAGGCCTGGCCCTAGCTCCCGGGCCTCATGGCTCCTCCCCCTTTCTCCCCCCCACCCCCAACCAACACCACCTCAGGGCCTTCTGCCCTCTCCCCTTTGGGAATAGGAACTCCAAGCGAGGCAAGTCCTGTGTTCCCCTTGGAGCTCAGCTATCCTGCGCTGTCTCTTCTCTTCTCCTCTCTTCCAGCCCAGCCCACCCCTGCCCTCCCTGCCCCTCCCTCCTCCCAATTTAACCCCCTTGTAGGCCCCAGGACACCAGCACCCCCCATACACCCCTTTTCTAATCCCTCTGTTTAACTCGTGGACATCACAAAGGGCCAGGGACCAGGGAATATATTCTTAACACTAAGAACTGTTTCACTAAGGTTAAGATTTACAGCTATTTCCTTACAACTGACCCTGTGAGGTAGGGAGCACAAATGTTATTTGCAGATAAGGAAGTTGATCCTGAGAAATTCAGTAACATGTCGCACTGTCACCCAGCTTTGAGAAGTCCAAGCTAGTTCTGCACCCCAGCCAGACCCTCGGTCTCTTTCCGCTTCAATCTTTCTTGCCTGAGGCAGAGGCACCCAAAGTCCCCAAATTGTGGGCTGGCAGTGGGGGACGTCAGATTTCTTTAGGGAAAGCATACAGGGGTCTCCTTCAGAGCGTGTAGCGGGAGCCGGACAGGGCCTTTGGGACCACTTCGTCCAACCCCTACGGGTTGCCACTGAAGAGCCTCTGGCCCAGAGTCCCGGCTTCCAAGCGACGACGGAGCCCTAAGGCAGAGCCAAGTCTGGGCTTGTGCCCACCACAGTCCCAGGAATGGGTCCTACTGGAGCGGGGAGAGCCCCTAACAATAGGATTTCACACCTTACAGTGTAGTCCAACCCCATGATGTTACAGATGAGGCCTAGATGGGAAGGGCACAGTAGAGAAGGGGTTCAAACCCAGCTCTCAAGTTGCTCCTGGTTGTGGGCTCTCTGAGGACAGAGAAGGGGATGGGGGGGAGGGGGCGCGGTATGGAGCAGCGGCTTCTCCCGTGACTCAGACTGTTTAAATTTAGCTGGGAGGTCCCTCCCGGGTTTAAATGGATCCATTTTGGGAGGGGAAAGGGGGGGGCAGGGAGAGGAGAGGAATTCACCCCTTCAGAGAGTGACTATGGCGGGGGACCCCCTTTCCAAAGGAAGACCTGCGTCTGGGGGGCAGGAGCTACAGCGCGGGGATCGTCCCAGACTCTGAGGCCCCATCCACTAGTTTTTTGGACACTAGCCCTGGGGGCCAGGGGGTGGGGACCAGCTACATTCCTCCCAGCTCAGATTAGAAACAGAAACATCTGGGGGGGAGGGAGGGGTGTTGCTCCCCAGAGCCAGCCCTGGAGAAGAAGAGGAGTGAAAAGCTGGCCTGGGGGAGGGGGGAAGAGAGGAAGTCAGGAAAGAGACCAGGAGTTTTCATTCATCCCTGCCTCCCCACTCCTCATGGCACTGAGCCCGAGGAGTAACTTGTTATTACCACCCCCCCCAATACTTCCTTTGACAGATTTTGGGGCAATTTAGAGATTTGTGGCAGAGTTTAAAGGAGGCCCCAGTGCAGCTCAGTCACTGATCTGTGACCTTGTCCAGGTTACTGGTCTTTTCTAGGACTTAGTTTCCCCACCTGCAAAACAAGGGGAATTGGCCCAGACTCCATCTGATCTCCCTTCTAGCTCTGAAAGTCTCTGTTCTGAGGTCCCTCTAAGCTTTAATATTCTCTTCGTAATGAACAAAGATTTTTTTTTTAACTTTTGAGGCGTTTGGGGTTAAGTGACTTGCCCAGGGTCACACAGCTAGTATGTGTCACTGCTTGGTCTGCGGTCGGATTTGAACTCGGGTCTTCCTGACTTCGGGGCCGGTGCTCTATCCACTGCGCCATCTAGCTGCTCCCAAAGATCTATTTTCTCTCCCCCAAAATTGGAGGAAAACAAAACCCTTGTAATAAATATGGGGCTTAGGCCCCATCTACCTTCTCTGTTCAGCCATTGGAGGTCTACCTATTCTCTCTCTCAAGACGCCCTTGAGCCCATCAATGACCTGTCAAAACAAAACCAGGTCCCACTGAGGTCATCCACTGAGGGCCTCTGCCCCGAGCCTCTCTTGCTCAGTCTACACCATGTAAGCTGCTGGTCTTCCTCTCACAGTCCAAAGTCTGGATCCATATACTTCAGTGGAAGGTGATTGCTCCAAAGCTACTGGGCAGCTCTTGACAGGCCAACCCGTCAGTCTCGTGAGTCCTTGACCTCTGACTGCTGACCTCCCATTCCATATTAAAAGCCTTTCTTCTCTTGAGGCCTTTGTGACACAGCTCTCTCTCCGGGTCAGGATGTTCCTTCAGCATTCTTAGCGGGATCTTCACCTGGGTCATATCCGTGAACCACAGGTGCCCCCCACTGCTCTGGCCTACGGCCTCTCCTCCCCTTCCTATGTGATCCCACTTGGCGAGCTCCTCAGGGCCTTTAGATTGGGAGCTCCTTGAGGTCAGGGGCTGTCTTTGTATCACCAGCATTAGCTCCACGCCTGGCACATAGTAGGAGCTTAATAAATGCTTACTGAATGGAATGAATCCCAGACCTAACTCCTCAGCTCTGGTCTCCCATCACCACCCGCCTTGGACATTTCAAACAGATGACAGGCAGGCACCTCCAGCTCCTCATGGGTAGACTATATCTTTCGGCTCCACCAGCCCCTTCCTCTCCTTGGGGGCTCCTGCCACACTCGCCCTCCATCATAGTGGTGCAGTAGGCTCTCCCTGCCTCAATCTCCCCTCACCGCAACTGGGCCTCTACAGACTCCAGCAGGATGAATAGCTTCATAAATGCCTGCGTGCCTGATGGCTCTGTTGGAAGGGCCCTCCCAGCTCCGACATTCTGGGTTCTAAGGTCCCTTCTGGCTCTGATGTTCTGGGCTGCAGACGAGGGGAGCTGAATGGGGAGTTAAAGGGGGAAGTGAGGGCGAGATCAAGCCCCAATGCGCCAGCACTGTTCTGGCTGTGTGACAATGCCAACCTTGGCCTCAATTTCCCCACTTGTAAAGGGGTGGAGGTGCTGCCAGGCTCCACTCTTTCTAAGGTCTAATGTTTCATGTTCCTCCACAGCCTTGGACAAAAATACGGCAGGAAGACCAGCTGCTCTCCCCACCCTAACCCCCAACCACGAGACAGAAGAGAGGCCAACAGCCCAGACTGTAAAAACAAGGAGCGTTTACTATAAATAAGAGGTTGAAGGAGTGGGGGGAGGCAGAGACACTGGGGTTTCCATAATTTATAACACTCGTCAGGGGCCTCCCCCCGTCCCTGCCAGAGGGGGATCAGTGCAAAGAGCCAAAGTAGAAGGGAAGGCGAGGGGCCGGCACATGCAGGGGAGCGAGGGGGGTAACACTGACCGTGTACAAGCAGGGAAGAACACTGGGCCCCACATCCCACAGGCCAGACCAGGGATGCCCCTGGTGTTGTGCAAGGCCCGAGGGAGGGCAGGGGGGCTCCTTCCACTGTTAGTCTCATTAATACATTAAGGGGGATTAGGATGGAGCAGACAGGACACGGACCAGGAGGCTGAGGCGGGAGTGGCCGAATCCACGAGCTTCATACCACAGTGCCGCTGGGGGAGTTGGCAGGCTGGGAGGAGAGGCCCTGCAAGGAAGCCGGAAGAAGGGCATGTGGGCCGGGCAAGGAGGCCGTCACAGACCACCCACCTCCAGAGGGAGGTGCCCTGCCTGTCTACAAGGCTCATCTCCCGCCTCAGTTCCCGCTGTGGTCAACGGCATGGTCCGGCCCCTCCCTTTCCAGCTCTGGTCTCTTGCACCAATCCTTCCCCCCCCCCCCCCCCCCCGGTCCATGTGCAGTCCCCACCCTGGAGAAGTGCTGAGTTTACAGGACCCATGGGGATGTGCCCCGGGCCCAACAGAGGTCTGGGGGCCTGCACCCCCAATTTTTAAAGTCTCCGCAGTTCTGACAATTATTTTAAGAAGCTGACATTCTATAAGAATGGCAGCTCACGTTCACATACCACTAGAGTTAATGAGCTTTCCTCAACCACCACACTGAGGAATGTAGCTCCAACACTTCCATTTTACAGATGAAGAAACTGAGGCTCCGAGCCACGAGCAGACTCGTGAGTTAGTGAGTCAGTCCTGGAGCACCCTGCCCTCCCTCCCTCCCACTGGCGTCCTTCCACAATGCCAGGACCCTGATACCCATTCTTCTAACACGCTGACATTTCAGGCACGGAATACCTCTTCTCTGCAGATTGCGGCATCCCAGGGCTACGGGACTCCAATGGCTGATGATTATTCCTACAGCTTCTTTCCCTTCCCACCCCTCCCTCCCCCTCCCTGAGGATCTCCGAGCACTCAGTCTGCAGAGCAGAGCCCAGCAGGAGAGGAGGCAGGCGCCCGGCCCGACTCTGGGGCCAAGGGGGGCTCCCCCACGGCCCCCGGGGTACTCACAGCTTTGCCAGGCCGGGCCCAGGTGCAGATGAGACCCTCCTGGCAGGCGGTGATGATGCAGTCCTCCAAGAACAGGAGGACTGTGAGGCGCTCCTGGGCAATCTTCTTGCACACCAGAGGCTCGAGCAGGGGCACCTCGTGGATCCGAGGGCACAGGGCCGTGCCCAGCACCTTGGCCGGGTCCAGGCGGCCCCTGGGGGCCGGCCCGCTCAGCTTGTCTCCACTGCTCCCGCCGCCTCCACCGCGGCTGATGTTGCCCAGGCTGTGGTAACGCTTGTGTTCTTTGTCAGCGCCCTTGTCACGGCGCTCCTGGAGGGTCAGCGTGGCAAACTTGCCAATGCCGAAGGGGGTCCCAGGCTCCGTCACCCCGCCTGTGCTTGCCCCAGCCCCCTTTCCGCTCACTGCCGGGTGGGGGAGGCTGTTGGAGCGGGACAGAGATCGGGGAAGGGGCCCCGGGGTGACGGGCGCAGCCTCCGTGCTGCCACCGCCGCCACCACCGCTGCCGGCCAGGGCCCGGGGCCGGGCCAGCGGGGGCCGGGGGTAGAGCACATCCTCCGTCAGGTCCCACAGGCAGAACTGTGTGTCCTGGCCGGCCGAGCCAAAGCGGTAAGTGACGGCTGGGGGAGGCAGTCGGGGCAAGGAGCCTGCCTCCCTCTCACTCCCACCGCTCGTCCCCTCCTCCTCTGGCTCTTCCTCGCTCCTTGTGGTATATGGATCGAAAGCCACAGCGTTGACCCAGGACTTGTGGCCGTGGCCTCTGGCCACCACTCGGGCCTCAGCGAAGGACCACACGGTGACCAGGTCATCCTCGCCCCCGGTCACCACGTAGCGCCCATCGGGGCTCCAGCACACGCAGAGCAGGCCTCCGAAGTAGCTCTTCATGAGGCCGCGCAGGAGCATGGAATCGAAGTGGAAGACGCGCAGGCAGCCATCCTGGCTCACGCAGGCCAGGTGACGCCCGTCCGGGGAGAAGGCAAACTCGTTCAGGGGGCCCTCGCCCACGGCCCACTTGGCCATCGGGTTCCGGGGCGCCTTCCCCTTGGCAGTGTAGACGGCAAAGCCCTCCCCCTGCTTGAGCAGACTGTACTGGGGCGGGGCGGGGCCACAGGGGCGAGCCACATCATACAGGTAGAGGTGGCCACTGGCGTGGGAGGCCAGGAACAGACTTTCAGACTCGGGCAGCCACTTCAGGTGGGTCACCTTGGTCTTGTCAATCAGCCTCTAAGTGGAAAAGCAGAGGGAGACAGGAGGGCCATGAGCTTGCTGCCAGGATGGGGCAGTGAGTGCAGTGGAGGGAGCCCTGGATTCGGGGTCCAAGGCCCAAGGCCCAGAGCGTGGCTCTGGTGCCCAGTTCCCGCCCCTCTCTGAGCCTCACCACCCAACGTGCTGCAGAGGGAGCCCAGAAAGGGCTGTTGGGACTCTCGGCTCCAAATGTCAGGTTCTCTCCACTGGGATCCCAGTTGAGGTCACAGACCTCAAGCTGCTAACCTGCCTGCCCTCACTGCAGAACTGTCTCATCTAGCTCCCTGTCTTATCTGATGGCCTCTCTTCATCACTTCCTTGGTCTGCCTGGCACTGCCTGTCCCTTCCGATACTGGAGGAGGGGGGAGGAGCCGGTGGGAGCTCAAAACTAGAGCTCAGGCCATCCATTCTTCTGATGCCAGCTCTCTGGGCCTCAGTTTCCTAAACTGTTGAGTGAGAAGGCTGGATGGGCTGTGCTAACTCTAAGAAGCAGCCTCTGGCCTCAGCATGGGCAGCAGGGCAGTGCCAGGGGGCAGGAGCTGGCAGTCAGATGGCCTAGACCTGGCACACTATCTGTGCCATCTCGGCAAGTTCTTCATCTCTGGGCTTCAGGAACCACCCCCGTCAAACAGGGCAGAAGGTCCCTGACTGGCCTCACTCCCTGGGATAATGTCAGAATCACAGGAGATAATGGCCACGAAAATGATCTGCAAGTACAAACAGGAAACCCTTTTATTGGGCAACTCTGATTTCCTCAGTTTCTCCAAATGGTAAAATCAGAAAGAATGGAAAAGCTTTTCTCCCAGCCCTGACATTCCCCGTTCTAAAGGCCCTCCCAGCCCTGACATTCCCTGTTCTAAGGGCCCTCCCAGCCCGAACATTCCCTGTCCTAAGGGCCCTCCCAGCCCTGACATTCCCTGTTCTAAAGGCCCTCCCAGCCCTGACATTCTCTGTTCTAAAGGCCCTCCCAGCCCTGACATCCCCCTGTACTCAGGCCCCTCCCAGCCCTGACCTGCCCTGACCTCCCCTGTCCTAAGGTCCCTCCCACCTCTGACATTCCCTGTTCTAAGGGCCCTCCCAGCCCTGACATCCCCTGTTCTCAGACAGTCTGTTAAATCATTCCTGTCTCTCGCCCCCACCCTGGCCAGGCTCCAGTGTGCTCCCCATCAGGCCCCCTCTCAGTCACCTCCTCATTGAAGAGTTTGCTGGTGTCCTTCTTGATCAGGTCCAGGTACTGCACCTGGCCGGCTGAGAAGCCCACCAGCAGGGAGATGGTCTCGGTGGCCGCTGTGTACTGGTTGAAGTCATGACAAGTGGGCTGGGTGCCCTTGTAGATCCGCTTGTCAATGGGCTTGTTGAGGTCTATGGACTTTGGGTGGGGGGGAGGGAAAGAAGGGTGGTGAGTGACACCCAGCCAGTGAGGCTGAGGCACAAACAGGCCAGCTCCCCAGGGCAGAGTCAGGGAGAGTGGCTGGCCCTGGCCCTCCCTCTGGCTCCCCTCTTGTCCCTGCCCAGCCTCTCTGAACCCTGAGGTGCCTTCAAAGCTCAGCTATCCCATCTCCTTCCTGTCAGGGGCCTGTCCTGATCTGCCTGGCGGCTCATACCACGCCCCCCTCCAATCTCCTGCACTTATACGCGGTTGTCTCCGACCACATGCAAACTTCTGGGGGGGCCGGGAGTGTTTCATCTGGATCCCTCCATCCCCAGTGCACAGCTCGGGGTCTGACAGGCTCCTGATGAATGCCTGAGGGCAAGGAGGTCTGCTGCTGACCAGTGCTGAACCTGGGGCCTCCACGACCCTCTCGCTTCTCCCTGCCTGGGAGCAGGGCTGGACATAGCTCCCCAGGGCCCCCCCTTTCTGCTGACGCCTCCACACTCACATCTCAGAGGTTCTCTTTCCTCACCCCTGGGTTCTGCTGGCTACCATGCCTTCTGGATGCAGCTGCTGACCCACTGAATTTCTTCCCGCCTCTAACTCCCAGACTTTCTAAAGGGCTGGAGCATGTCTGGTGAGCTCCACACCGCTTTGCTTCCTTTTTCTCTTTCCACTCCTCTCCTGTCTGGGCCATCAGAGCCTCCACGTCCACTGACACGGCTCTCCCTCTCATCTCCCATTGCTGAACTCCCCCAAAAAAAGCAACAGGGCTTGGGGCTTGGCCAAGTTCAAGGCCACTTACTACCTGTGGCACCAGACTAGGCTGGGGTCAATAAGGAAGTTGACCCCTATGGTCTCTAAAGTTCCTGCCAGCTCAGAAGCTGCAGAAATTCTGCTCCTGACAAAGTGGCCCTTGAGTCAATGCAGAGCCCCCTCATCCCCACAGATTGATCCCTTCCAATCCCCTGCCCATCCTGCCTTCCCTAGCAGGGGGAATGCTGTCCTTCTCCTCCCACGAGCACACGCCCCTCTGTCCACAGCATCAGCCCCATGAGGCTGGTACCACAGCCGCCCGAACCTCCTTCCTTTCCATCTTCCTTCCCTTAAATCCCATCTACCACCAGGCCTTCATTTACCCTGAAGCAGCACTAGGCCTCACCCCTTTCTCTGTCCTGGGCTACCTTTTCCGTTGGAAGCATTCTCGCAGCCTGGACATTCTACAGTGTGGCTAGAACCCTGGCCCAGAGTCTGGAAGAGCTAAGTGAAAATTCAGCCTGAGACACCTCCTAGCTGTGTGAGTCTGAGGAATTCATCTAACCTCTGTTTGCCTCACCTGTAAAATGGGGATAATCACATCCATGTCCCAAGGTGGTCAGGAGAACCAAATGAGACAATATTTGTAAAGCACTTACTTTGCAAGCCTTGGAGAGTGAATAAATGCTGGCTTTTATTACGATGTTTGCATATTCTAATGTTCTAACGTTACTGCTAATGTTCTTTGACCCAGAGATTCCATTTTTTAAACTCTAAAATTCTGAATTCTACAGCTTCTGCTAAGGAGCACTGTATTTTCTCAGTGTCAATACTCCCAAGTCCTCTAGATGCCCCCCCCTAATGTTTTAGAGCCCAGGACCCCTCCCTGCCAGCACCCCGAGATTCTGGTGCCACTCCTCTAAAACCCTACTCCCCCCTTTCCTCCCTCTACCTTCCCTCTCCATGCTCTCCTCCTCCCCACTTCATCCTCCTGCCATCTTCCCTCCCCCTCCATTCTTCCCCCTCCTTGCCCTCCCCACCCCCATCTCCCTCATCCTCCCCCTCTCTATTCTCTCCCCCCCATTCTCTCCCTCCCCTCCATCCTCCTCCTCTCCCTCTCCATCCTCCCTTATCCTTCCCCTCCCTTCCATCCTCCTCCCTCTTCCCTCTCTATTATCCCCCTCCCTTCCAACCTCCCCCTTTCCATCTTCCCCCTCCCCTCCATCCTCTCCCCTCCCCCTCCCCTCCCCCCTCTCTCCATCTCCTCCTTCCTCCGTCGCTCACCCGGTGGCTGCCTCGGCGCCCGGAACCTCCGGGGTAGAAGTAGAGCTCTCGGCCCAGGTTGAAGCAGACGCGATCGCCAGCTGCCGGGGGCGGCCCGGCGGGCTCCCCGGAGGCGGCGGCGGCGGCGGAAGCGTCGGGTTCGCCCAGGCGCACGAGGCTCAGGCGCACGGCGGGCAGCGCCGGCCCCGGCCCGGGCGGGGAGGGGGTCCCGGTGGCGGCAGCGGCGGCGGCGGAGCCTGGGGCGGCGGGGGCTGGGCCGGGGGCTGGGCCTGGGGCCGCGACCGGGGCCGCGCAGGAGGCGTTGGAGGCCGCGCCGGGGGCCGGGGCCGGACCCGCCCGCCGGGCTGCGCCCTCGGCGCCGGGCAGCAGCTTGTAGAAGCCCTCGCGCGTCCGGAACTGCGACTTGATCTCGGCGCAGTCGCCCAGAGCCCCCGCGCCCGTACCGCCCTCCGCGCCCGCCGCCATCTTGGGCCTGGCGCCCCTCCGCGCCCCCGGCCCACCGCCCCCGACGCCGCTTCCGCCAGAGGCCCCGCCTCCCGCCGGAAGGGGCGGTGTGTCGCCCAGGCAACCGCCTACCGGTTGGGGGAGAGGCGCAGCTTCCGGTGGATTGATTGAAGTAGATTGGTCAAAGGGCGGGGCCAGGCAAGGAGGCCCCTCAAGGCGTCGTCCCGGCAATGAGATCCCGATTGGGGGAAAATGTTAGGGGTGGGGCGCCGGGTGAAGGGGTGGGGGAAGAGCAGCTGTTGTCTTGGTAACCGGTTGCCCATTTGGAGAAGAAGGGGCTACAAGGGGCTTGGAGCAGATAAGAAGGAAAAAGGCGTTGCCAGGGCAATAGTTGGCGGTTTAGGCTAGCCCTAGGCACCAGGAGGGGCCGTCACCACAGCAATGGCCGCGCGTTTCGGGGGCTTGACGTCGTTTTGGACGCAGGGACGGGCGTGGGGAGGGTAGAGTAGTTGCCAAAGTAACCGAACTGTGATTGGACGCGACCAAGGGGGGCGGGATCTCAGAGAGACGAGGGAGCAGGGAATGGGCGAGTCCCTAGCAACCGCGCCGCTTCCCTAACGACGGGGAGGCGGGGCAATTTCTCAACCTTCCACAGGGATGATGCTTGGGGGACGGAAGGTTTCTAGGGACACTGTGTAGAGGAGGTGGAACGAGGGCCTTATGGGAAGGACAATCAGGAAAGGCTGCGAGGGAAGGAAGGATGAGGACCCTGGGGAACGGATCCTGAAGACACAGATCTCCCGGGGCCTCGCTTGGGCCTGGGGGAGGCCAAGCCAGATCCCTAAGCAGGCCAGCTCCATGGGGGGAATGGTATTTTTAAAGGAAAACACCCCACTCTTCTCCAATGTAGAAAATAAATAATTAAGCAGATAAATATTCACAAAGTAAAAAATCCCCTCCCCTTAGTCATCGGCATCCTCATCCTCTTCATCCTCCTCATCTTCCTCCTCCTCCTCGGCTGCTGCCAGGGCCTGCTCCTGGGCAGCCTTCAGGGCCTGCTCCTCTTCCACAGTGGGGTCAGCCATCTCCATGGTCTCAGGCCCAATGACGTACTCCGTCTGCACCGCTGGTGGCAGGGTGGGGTTGAAGTTCTCCTGGCTGTACTTGTGACCCCAGCCGATGTAGATGTTCTCAAACTTCCTGAGAGGGGGTGAAGGAGGACACTTTCCATGGCTCTGTGAAGCTTTGGATCATAGGACCCCAAGGGACCTTACACATGATCTAGTCTAGGCTTCCCATTCCACCCGGGAAGAAAGTATGACATAATGGAGGGCACCCTGCTGGGAACCAGCTGTGTGACCCTGGGCAAGTGACTACCCCTAGCTGGGCTCTAATCTCTTCATCAGTGAAACCAGAGGGCTGGATTATCTTTAAGGAGCCTTCCAGCTATGATAATAATGATAGCTGGGCAGCACAATGCAGAGAGCGCTGGCCCAGGAGTCAGGAGGACCTGAGTTCAAATATGACCTCAGACACTTACTAGCTGTGTGACCCTGGGCAAGTCTCAAAAAAAAAAAAAGTAGTAATAATAAAGATGGCTAGCATTCTACAGGCTTTAAGGTTTGCAAAGAACTGTGCAAATAAGATCTCATTTGAGCCTTACAACAAGCCCAGGAGGTTGGTGCTGGTGCCCCCATTTTACAGAAGAGGAAATTGAGGCAAGCAGCAATTCAGTGATTTGCCCAGGGTCACATAGGTAGGAAATATCTGGGGCTCCATCCACTATACCACCAGCTGCCTTACAGATCTATGATCCCAAGAAATTGAGGCCCAGAGAGAAGGGCCTGGCCTAAGGTAACCCAGCAGTGGTCAGCCACACAGCCAAGATGTGAAACCAACTCCAAAGTAGGCTTCTGTTCTGCTATATCTCACTGCCTACTCTGAGCCTTGGCTGTCACTGTTCTTAAAGTCTGGAAGACCTTCTCTAGCTTTTCAAGATCCAGCCTGAGTCAGGCCTCCTTTGTGAAATTTTCCTCTGACTCACCTGTACTGTTTTCTAGTATTCCCTGTTCTAAAGCCCCTCCCAGCCCTAACCTTCCCTGTTCTAAGGCCCCTCCCAGCCCTGACATCCCCTGTTCTAAGGCCCTCCCAGCCCTGACATCCCCTGTTCTAAGGCCCCTCCCAGCCCTGACATCCCCTGTTCTAAGGCCCTCCCAGCCCTGACATCCCCTGTTCTAAGGCCCTCCCAGCCCTTACATCCCCTGTTCTAAGGGTTAAGGTTAGGGTTGGGCGCATTTAGGGTTAGGGTTAGAGTCGGAGTCAGAGGGTTGTCTCTCTTCACACTGCTCTAAGAGCCTCCCTGACTGTCCTCCAGCCAGCCCAGGCCCTGCTTGCCCTCAAAGAACCATGGCATGTCCAGGTCTAAGAAACCTTGCAGACTGTCCAGTTGAGCCCATTCGTTATTCATAGGGGAAAACTGAGGTTAGTCAAAGACCCCAGAACAGGTGTGAAGAACCTTTGAGCTGAGCCCACGTGGCCCTCTAGGTCCTCAAGTACGGCCCTTTGACTGAATCTACTTCAGGTCCCCATCCCTGCCCCACAGTAAGTCAATGGTGCTGGCAGCCTCGCAGCCCCACTTTGTCCTCTGTCTTCCTGGAGAAGTTTCAGGGGGAACCTCTGAACCCCTTACCTGCCAATGGCATAAGCATAGGCCCCAGGCCACAGGTTGGATCGAATCATGGCCACCGAGTATTGAGGGCAGAGGGGGCAGGAGAGGCGGGCTGTCCAGGGGGCCAACTGCAGGATTTCTGATGGGATGTAGAGATGAAGAAGGGGTCAGGCTGAAAGAAGGGCCGGCCTGGGAAGGGACGCTCCCTCCCTCCTAACCCTCCTCAGCCCAACTGACTTGGGTGATGTGGAGATAAGGAAGCTCCTGGCCCAGAAACCTTCCCTGGTCACCTGCTGTCCACAGTATCAAGTCCTGAGGGAAGCTGTCCTCCAAGGCTGGGCTCCTCTCCGTCTCCACACCGGTACCTTCTGAATCTCACTCATCCCCCGAGTCTCAATTCTCTACCTCCATCCCGCAGCTTCTGCCCTGAGCCCCAGTTCAGTAAGTTCAGCTGCTCATTGGAAACCTGGAAGTGTAGCTGGCATTTCCAACTCCACAGTGTTGAAGGCTGCATTCCTCATCTCTCCCCCTAAGTAAACCTGCTGCTCCACTTAGCTCTGAGGACCATCATCCTCCAAGTCACCCAAGCTTAGAACCTAGCAGTCAGCTTTGCTGCAGTCTCCCAGGAAGAGGCAGCCCTTCCCTAACCCAGGAGAAGCCCTCGACATGTGTCCCCAAGCCTGTGCCCCCCCACCCCCACCCCAATCACCTCCACGATCTTGTACTTTCAATCATTTCTTTCTCTCCCCCCTCTTCCATATTCCTCTCTCCTGGCTCTTTCCCTGGTGCTACAAGCATTCCTGTCCTCTTCAAAGGCTTCCCAGGTCTTAACAGCAGGAACACCACAGATTCACCCACCACTTCTCAACTCTTTCCAGGCAAGTCAGGCTTTTGATCTCACCACTGAAGAGGAGTGTTCTCTCCCAATTAATTCCCTCCACTAATTATCATTCAACTGCTAAATCTCATAACCTTTCTCTTTTCCCATCTTTCTCGACCCCTCAACAGCTCTCTCAACACTGCCAATCAATTCAATTCCACTACCTTCTATGTACAAGGCCCTGCTGGGAAAGATGAAAAAGGCAAAACCCTCTCTGCTCTCTAGGAATGGGGGAAAGGTGATGGATCATTTATTAAGCCAGGCACTGTGCTAAGTGCTTTTTACACGTGTGTCTCATTAATCTCACATTTAATCATGGGAGGTCGGTGCTATTATTCTTGTCATTTTACAGTTGAGGAAATTGAGGCAGACAGATGTGAAATGACTTGTCTAGGGTCACATAGCTAGGATGTGCTTGTGGCTGAATTGGAACTCAGGTCTTCCTGATTCCAGGCCCAGTGTTCTCTCCCCTGTTCCTCCCTAGCTAGGAAAATCAGTATCAAACCATAGAGTAAGGCCTCCCCTTCTTTCTTCTCCCAATTCTTCCCAAGTAAACTGAGACTGATTCCAAAGCTTATTCTGTTCTGCAAAGTACCTGTCTGATTTCTTTGGAAGTATTTTGAATTCCTCCTGCCAATGAGATAAACCTGATTGGCCCACCCGCTGTATGCCTGTATCTTGCCTTATTTGTGAGTGGGGGGTGGCAATAGGGAGGATTAGGGTTCAGATATTGATTTACAGGAAGGACCAGGTTTGAGGGCTGGTCCCCCATTGTGACCATCTTTCCCTTGGCTGAGTTAAAAAGAGAGAGAATCTTGTGGTTTTTATGACTAATAATTGCATATACTTCCCCAAAGGCAGAGCTAAATCACATCTGGGCCTTTTCTTTCCCTTGCTCTGGACTGAAAAACAAGACAGAACACTATTTTTACTGTCTGAGGCAAGGTGGGAACTCTCAGGACAAATGCCCTAATCACTCCTCCTTCCTTCCTCCAGTCCAAGCCTAGAGAAAGGGTTGGAGCTGGAGTTGACTCAGGGACTAGGAAACAGGAACTGCCTGATGGGGAGAGAAAAGACGTGGCTGGTCAGCCAGCAAGGCCCCCACTCCTTTCCCGAATCTCCTTCCACCTCCCACCTCCACGCTTCTGCCCAGTCAAGCGCAGGTGGTGGCACTGATTAATCTGCTTGTGTGCTGTATCTGTCTCCTAGAAGAGTGGAGCAATTAGTGAATGCAGTGAATGATCCCTCATTAGACTTGCACTTGCGAAGACCTGGGTTCAAATCCAGCCTCTCATATGTACAGGTTGTATATGACTCCAAGAGGAGTTACATGGAGGAGTTGGACCAGAAAACCCCCAGCTCTCATCCTCCGATTCCAAGAGACTAGCCCAAGCCAAGGCCTGGCTACGCTTTAGGAAAAGGTGGGAGCTACAGGAGCCAGGCTGTTCCTGTTCTTGCATACCCAAAGGGCATCAGAGCTCACTCAGACCCTCAAGGTCAGGGGGACCTGGCAGCTGGATACTGACGCATCATCTTCTGCTGAGGCCATCCTGGGAGTAGCTGCTCCAGCCCTGAGTCTTTCTGGAGAACTAACCTTAAAGTCAAGAAGATCTGCCTCTGGCACATATTGGCTGTGTTGCCCTGGACAAGTCATTTTACCTCTAAGTGATCTAGGCAACTCTCTGAGACTATACAAGTTGTTGAGAAAGTACCAGTCTCCATTAGTAGAGGGAATTCCTTGTACCGTTGAAATCACAGGTCCAGTGCCCATCCCTGACCTTATGTATTGGAAAGGGGAAGGGTTTGGTCCCTCCTCCCCACCACTCACCTCAGGCAACCTAGGAGATGAAATCACAGGAAAGGATAGAAAATGGGGGTAATGAGGTATTAATGTGTTAAACCCATATCTACACTCTGTTATCCCCTTGTGAAGCGTGAAGTAGTCTTCCTGATGGACATATAGTTTGCCCTAGGCTGGCCAAGCACGAGCCACCACGCTGGTAGTCGCGAAAGAGCACACTTGTCAGCCTGGAGAGATAGTGAAGGCAGAAAGCAGCTTTGCGGTGCCTGGTCCCTGTATTTAAACTGAGCAAAGGTGGTGAGGGGGAAGAGGAGAGGAGAGAGGCAAAAAGAAGAGGAGGGAGGGGTGAGGAGAAGGGAAGAGAGGGGAGGGGAGGAGAAAGAGAGGAGAGAGAGGGAGAGTTCAAGAGAGAGAAGCCATGGAGTTGACTCCAAGGAGTGTGAACTCTGGCAGCAGAAAAAAGAGCCAGCCATGGATTCAAGAGACAATGCTCCCCAGCACTGGGGAGTTAAGCTGATGAGAGGAGAAGGCCTCGGGAGCCCACCTGAATGGCCTGCCCAGCAGAGATGCGGCACTCAGCAGGAGGCAGTGTGAGGAGACCACAAGAGGAGAAAGGGCATTGGCTCCCTGCACTACCAGAGGTATGAGTCAACCAGCATGCTCTAAGCTGGTTGCCTCTCTTCCTCCTGCTGCTCTGTGTATTGGGAGAGTGTACTTCAGGTTTGGGGAGGGGCAGGCATGTTGTGTAGCTCCTTTTAAAAAATGGTGCCATCTTAGTAGACGTCTTTGCTTTGAGATAATTGTGTCTGCTGCCTATTAAAAGGAAGCACCCCAGTGGGGGCCTACGCATCCTTGGAGTGCAAACCCACACAGTATCAGAGAGGGCGCTACACAAATGGTGTCCCGATTTCTTGTATGTTTTACAGCATTTCATTACTGAAGATAATTCTATACTCATCTGTAACATGGGGACAATCATAGCACCTATCTCCTAGGGTGGTTTTGAGGATCAAATGAGTTAACGTAAGAAAAGTGCTTTGAAAATCTCCAAGTGTTATAAAGTTCCAGCTATGATATTTGAATTATTGCTTCACTGGGTACAATTTTAACAAGAATTTGAACATGATGGAAAAGTCAGAACTTTAAAAACACATTATGTCATCATGTTCAGAATGGAAACATACTAACGACTTTTAATTTTAGGAATAAACCATGAGTTTCAAAATAGGAACACTGGAGAGGCAGAGGCAAGATGGAGGAGAAAAGGCAGAGACTTGCCTGACCTCTCCCCAATTCCCCTCCAAACAACTTTAAATAATGCCTCAGAATGAATTCTGGAGTGGTGGAACCCACAAAAGGATGGGGTGAAACAATTTTTTAAGCCCGAGACAACCTAGAGAGTCTGCAGGAAAGGTCTGCTGTACTGGGGGTAAGAGTGGAACTCCTCAGCAAACCAGCAGCAGGCCTTAGGGTATGACTAAATTGGGGGGCTGCAGCTGCTTCCAGAGCTCTCCGCCCACCGATGGTACGGAAGTCAGAAGACCGGTCAGAAGGAGATTACAGGGATTCCAGTGCCTTTGCTGGCACTGAGTGCAGGACTCTATTACACTGCCCATACTTGGATCTGGGTCACAATCTTGGGTCACAGTCCCAGGGTGAGGAGGAGAAGTTATGGCCACAGGGCAGCGGGAACCCTGGCCACAGTTCCAGGGTGGAAAAGCGTGCTTGTGGTTACTCACAGACCAGAGCAGAGGCCGGAAGAGCAGTGACCACACCTCTCCTTGAATCATACAACTTCAGAAGAACTGAAAACTTATAGACCCCTAGAACTAGCTCTGAACACAGTTGTACAAAAACCCTGAAGTTTGGGATGGTGCCCCCTCTTCCACAGGAGCACAGCCCAACTTTAACCTAAAGTTAAAAGTCAAGAAACAGGCTAGAAAAATGAGCAAACAAGAGCAACGAAAGAACTTGACCATAGAAAGTTACTGTGGTGACAGGGAAGATCAAAACATAAACTCGGATGAAGACTGCAAAGGCAAAACTGCTACATGTCTAAGGCCCAAAAAGAATTCCTGCAAGAGCTCAAAAAGGAATTTTAAAATCAAATAAGAGAGGTAGAGGAAAAATTGGGAAGAGAAATGAGAGTGACTCAAGAAAATAATGAAAAAGGGGCAGCTAGGTGGAACAGTGGATAGAGCTCCAGCCTTGGAGTCAGAAGGACCTGAGTTCAAATCCAGCCTCAGACACTTGATACTTTCTACCATAGGCAAGTCACCTAACCCCGACTGCCTCACCAAAAAAAAGAAAAGAAAAGAAAAAGAAAAAGATAATAATGAAGAAAAAGTCAACAGCTTGGTAAAGGAGGCATAAAAAATACTGAAGAAAATAACACCTTAAAAACCAGAATCGGCCAAACAGAGAAAGATATACAAAAATTCACTGAAGAGAACTGTTT